GTGAGTGAGTGAGTGGGTGAGTGAGTGAGTGAGTGGGTGGGTGAGTTGGTGGGTGGGTGAGTGAGAGAGTAGGTGAGTGAATGGGTGGGTGAGTAGGTGTGTGAGTGGCTGAGCGAGTGGGTGGGTGAGTCGATGAGTGAGTGGGTGACTGTGTTTGTGGGTAAGTGAGTGGGTGAGTGAATCAGTGAGCAATTGCACACACCCACCCTCCCGGGCACACACCAGCATCACCCTGTCCAGCTCTCCCTCCACCTGCCCGGCACCTGGATGTACATGTCCACGAGCTCGTGCTGCTGCAGGATATAGTAGATCTTGCCAGCCCGCAGCCAGGCATAGGCCTCTTTCTCTTTCTCCTGCAGATCAATGAAGATGCCCAGGCTCCGCTTGGTGTAGTCCAAGGCGGACTTGTAGGCCCTGTATCAGATGGAGCTGGTCAGAATCAATGTCCATGCTCTTTCCCGGTGGGTGTGTCGGGGACAGCTCCTCTGCCCTTCTGGGGATGTGGTGGGGACCAGAGACCCTGTGCCACTTGGCCACAAGATCCTGCCTGGAGGATGTGCCACCTTCCATGGGACTCTGCTAGCCCAGAGCCAGCTGGATGCCACGGGTAAGAATGTCGTGAGGAGAGGAGACCCTGCCCTCCCCTGCACCAGACTCTCACCGCTTGGTGCCCAGCGACAAGTACAGCTGGCTGATGGTCTCCAGGAGCTGCCCCTCCAGCACCTTGTTGGCCATCTTTCGGGCCAGCGAGAGCTGGAACTCGTGGTAGATGACACACTGGGCCTCATTGGGCACCACGGAGCTGTAGAACTGACACAGTCTCTGGACGGCACGCAGCTGGCCTGGGTAGGTGTGGCAGAGGGAGGAAGTTACCTTCAGGGAACTCCAGAGGACCTTCGCAGGCTGAAAGAGCTTTTATGGTGCATCTCCTGAATGCCTGCCTCTTCCACTCCTCTACGAACTGGGACTCATCACAGATGGAGAAATGGAGCCCAGAGAAGTCAGAACTAGCTCAGGCCACACAGCAATGAGCCTGCTGTACAGCAAACTGTAGGTGCTTCAGAAGCAACGGTCACCATGTTTGCAAACCAGAGCTGCTGATCCCCCCGTGGACTCGCCCACCCCTCCAGACCTTCTGTTTCTGCTTCACCACCTTCCTCCCAGCTAGACGGGGCCTGACTTTACTGCCAACATGACCAGCAGACAGCATCGACACCCATTATAGAAGGAATTATATCCCCCCCAAAATGTGACACTTTGAGGATTGAGGGGCATCTGACCAAAGCCATGGTATTTTCAATAAGCTCATATGCATGTGAAAGTTGGACAATGAAAAAGGAATATAGGTGAAGAATTGATGTATTTGAGTTATGGTTTTGGAGAAGGATATTAAAAATCCAATGGACTGCCAGAAGAACAAACAAATCTGTGTTGAAAGAAGTACAGCAAGAAAGCTCTTTAGAAGCTAGGATGACTAGATTTCATCTCATACTTTTGACATATTGTTAGGAGGTACAAGGTCCTGGATGAGAATGTCATGCTCGGTAAACCGGAGGGAAAGCAAAAATGTGGAAGCCCCTCAGTGAAATGGATTGGTATAATGGCTGCAACACTGGGCTCAAACACAGTAATGGTTGTGAGGATGGTGCAGAACTGGACCTGAATCTATAGCTGCCTATCAGTGGTAACAACGTATCTGTGTCCGCTCGTCAGCGCTAACAATGTATCTGTGTCCACTCATCAGCGCTAACAATGTATCTCTGTCCGCTCGTCAGTGGTAACAATGTATCTCTGTCCGCTCGTCAGTGGTAACAATGTATCTGTGCCACCGCCTCGTCGGTGGTAACAATGTATCTGTGTCCGCTCATCAGTGGTAACGATGTATCTGCAAATACAGTGAGCACTACTGTCATCTGTGGACTCTGGTTAGTAACAGTGTATCTGCATCTGCTCTTCAGTGCTAACAATGTATCTATAAAACACAATGAGTGCTGCTGTCATCTGTGGACTCTGGTTAGTAACAGTGTATCTGCATCTGCTCGTCAGTGGTAATGATGTATTCCAGGCATGCAACATGCTTCTAATAATAGGAAACAATATGAAGGGCAGGAACAATGATGCTTCATAGAGAAAGCACTGGACTTGGAACCACAAAGTCCAAAATGTGAGCCCATTAGTCGCTCTGCAGAAGAAAAAAGGCTTTCTGTTCGCTGGAAGATTTAAAGCCTCAAGACATCCTACACAGGGTCACTTTGAGTTGGAACCAACTCGACGGCACTTAACAACAATACAAAGGGCAGAAATGGATCCCTGGTGCTGCAAATGGTTAATACACTCGCTGATAACCAAAAGATTTAAGGTTCAAGTCCACCTAGAGGCTCCTCCAAAGAAAGACCTGGGTATTCACTTGCAAAAAAAAAAAATCAACCCTTGAAAGCCCTATGGAACACAACTCCATGAGGGATGAGTTGCAATCAACTGGATGGCACCTGGGTTTTTTGTTTGTTTGATGCAGAGAGGGGAAGTATACAAGAACTGTCCAATGGGGTTTCAAAAGTTCATGCCAAAATGCAATGAAAAGAGCATGGGATTTTCCCATGAACTTTTGAAAGTATTTTCTGCATACCTTTTCTGTAAACTCAAAACTGCACTAAAATTGTTGTTAAGTGCTGTCGAGTTGGTTCCGACTCACAGCAATCCTACATAGGATTTCCAAGGAGCACCTGGTGAGCTTGAAGCGCTGACCTTGCAGTCCAGCGCATTAACCCACAGCATAACATCAGGACTCCATGCGCTAAAATCGCCGATTTAAAAACATATCACCCTAGACCTGGGGACTCCTGAGCCCATGGACAAGGACATAGCCATGGAAGGCTAGAGCTGAGAGTGAAGCATCCAGCTGATATGAAGTGAGGGGAGATGCACAAGAATGCCCAAATTTGCAGACAGTACCCATTTGACCTAGCCTTGATGGCTTGATGATCAGAACTCAACAAGAGGAAGATAAAAGACAACAACAACAACAATTTTTGATAAAAGAAATGAGTGTAAATTGCTACAGTTTGATGAAATTGACCTATACTTATGGATGTAGTAGCTCAAACTACCAACTGAGAGGGAAGGAGTCTTCACATCAAGTATCAATGCTATCCCCTCTGTATATAGGGTAGATAGGGATGGGCAACTCAGACATTGGCTACCTAAAATGAGGGGGTGATAAAGGCATGAAGTGACTGGCTTACAAGTTTTCAAGAGGGAGTTTAGTTTAAGAGTATGCGGGGGAAGATAGAGTCCTCATGGAACAGTTTTCATCTTGTCTAGAAGGGTCTGGTGAAAAGAGATGGGGATAAGATTCTTATGATTCAATAGTGAGTAATTGTTATTATGACTAATTGCGACTGTCACAACTGTAAAGGTAGAAATTCTGCAACAAAAAGGGGAGAGTAGTTAATCTTACAATCCAGAAACAGAGGACCCTAGGACCATCAAGGGAGAAGAACATGAGTGGAATGCGAGACCCTAACCAGAGAAGCAGCAACACCAGAGATGGAGGCAGAAATGGGGACATGGAGAGAGGGAGCAGCTGAGGACTCTGGACTCATGGAAAGGGAGGGCCTGAGAGCCAGAAGGCAGACTTACAGAATGTGCCCTTTGGAGGTGTAAATGAGTATATATTCTTGAGTGTTTTTGTGTACATCCCCTCACCCCCAAAAAAGCAGAGGGAATGGAAGCAAATACTGTTGATTGATGATGCACAGAGGAACTTGTAATCATTGCAATGAAGTGATGGTGTAAAGCAGATGTTTTCCCATGTAAACTATTACTCAGTCCACAATAAAAACTTAAAAAAACCACCAAAAAACCACATGACCCTCTGGTTTCCACCACTTAGCATCTCACAGGGTAGGGACCCTCTGCTGGCACCCAAGCCCCACTCCCCCAGGGCAGAGATGGGAAGACAACAGGTTTGGTTTCTGGACCCTGGGAGGTGGGGGTGACCATGGCACTTACTCTCAAAGTGACGAGTCTCCACAGCGATGAGGAAGGCCCACTCGTAGCAGCACCTGCTGTGCTGGGCCAGGGTCCGGCGCGCGTACAGATGACCCAGCCAGAGAAGCACCTGGGTGAAGTCACAGCCGCCCTCCCCGCGGGGCAGCCCCGAGAAGAACTTCACGGCTTCCACCAGGTAGTGCTCTGCCAACTGCCCTGCCCCCGCCTGTAGGCACAGCACACCGAAGTTGGCCAGCACCACCGCCTGGTCACGTCGTCTGCCCCTACGCCTGGCCACGCGCAGGGCACAGTAGTAGCCCTCAGCTGCCCGCCGAGTCCTGCCCATTCTTTTCAGTGCTACTGCGGCCATGTTGGCCACCACGCCCTCCTGGTCCTCTCGAGCCATGCCCGTGTCCCCAATGGATTCCAGGATGTCCAGGGTCACTTCACATTGCCCATGGAGCACGTGCAGCCAGGCCAGGGCCACCAGACGGTCCACAATGAGGCGAGTGCTGGCTGGGGCCTCAGCGTCCACAGCAAGCAGCATGAGGGCAATGGCCTGACTGTACTGGCCATGGTGGCTGTGCACCTGGGCCAGGCTGGCATAGAGCATGGCCCGCAGCGTCCGCTCTGTCCCAGATGCTGGGGAGGCCAGTGCCTGCCAGAGGTAGGGAGCAAGCTGGGCAGGGAGGCTGGGGGTCACTTGTCTCGGACTGTGGAGCCGGGGGACATGGCGCAGCACCAGGTCCATGCTCTGCAGTGCGCTGGCCAGGGAGCCTCGGGTGTGCAGAGAGGCCACTCGGACACAGCTCAGTGCCAGGTGGGGCAGACACTTGCGGCTGTACGTGTTGGCTAGCAGCAGGTAGCCATTGGTGGGCCAGGTGGTGTCCAGGGGCGCTAGGTGGCGCTGCAGGACCAGCAGCCTCTCCAGGAAAGGCAGGGCATCCTCCGGCTGCTTGAGGCGAAAGTGGTGTTGGGCCAGCAGGAAGCAAGCCCGGGCCTCGGCCCCCTCGCTCTGAGCCTGCACAGCCCGCCTCAGGGCCAGCTGCAGCAGGTCAGCCTCAGTGCTGCAGATGGGGCCGGGTGTCCCCAGGAGCAGGGCCAATGCCTTGTCCACGGTCAGCGCGCACTTCTCCTGGTTCTTCTGCCTCAGGTAGATGGTGGCCAGGTGAATGTGCACGGCCACCATGAGGGGAAGGTCACCGAAGTGACCACCCAAGGTGCCCAGTGCCTCCTCAAAGTACACCCGGGCCTGGGAGAGCTTGAGCTTCCTGAAGCAGAACCCGCCCAAGAGGACACAGAGCCTGGACAGTGCCATGGGCAGGCCGGCTCTCTTGGCCACCTCCCGGGCCTGCGCCAGGCGCTCGGCCAGGTCCTCCTCATCAGCGAGGCCGCAGTGTGCACTGCCCAGCCCCGGCGGGGAGAGGGCATACAGGTTACGAAAGGAGGCCTCATGTCCCGGGCTGTCCAGTAAGGGTATCAGGGAGCCCAGGACCTCCACACCTGTCCTGTTGGCTTCCATGTCCAGGTGGAAGCTGGGCTCCTCAGTCTCTAGCAAGTTCCCCTGACTGCCCTCTGGGTACAAACTCCAAGATGCTGCCTCCTCGGAGTAGGCCTGGCAGGCCTTGCAGTGTTCTAGAACATTCTTCACCTTCCCCAGGATCTCACTCGGCTGCGGGACCAGATGAGGCAGAGGAATGTCTACAAAAGTCACAAAACCCATGTGCATCAGAGTCAGGATCTAGCCTCATTGTCCCCCTTATGCACAACGGGTTGCTGTGAGCATCTGAAATTGATGAAAAATTTCAGGCAGTGCAAGGACTCATGGGAACTGAGTGGCCTTGGGAAAGTAAAGGTCACTGTGGCCAGTCCTCTACCCATTGACCCTCCTTCTATTGTCTTCTACCTTTTCTTTGGGAGCAGGGTTAGGGGATTTCATGGGTCATAACAAAATGATCTCTTAAACTTTAATGTTCCTCTTTAAAGAACCAACCCACTGAGTTAGCCACGAGGTGTTTAGAACCATGTTAGAGCAGAACTGTGCCCCACAGGGTTCTCAGTGGATGATTTTTTTATAAGTAGATCCCACTCATGGTG